TCCTTGTTTATCTTGTAGGTTAAACAAAGACACTTATCGTATAGGTCGCGGACTAAGCGCACGATGTAAACGTAGCCATTGAATCGATAAAACAAACAACTAGGAGTCTCTTAAGGGAATCCCAAAATCGTCTGTTTTATCGATTAAATGCATACTTTTTTTATGATACATTCGTGCGTGCGTGTGTGTGTCTGTCTGTCTGTATGTTCACACGTTTAACGATGGAGAAAAAATTTTGATTGAAAAAGGCAGGAATATACATATAATAAGTTCAATGTATTCTACCGGAAGTTTGGCCGTACGAATACGACGTCGCGAATGTGTGCCAGCTTGGCAGAAGGTTGCATCACTCCGGGCGAACCGCCATTCAGGGTTTCAGCACCGATCATTACGACCACGGATAACGGAAAATTGTATCCAACCGTTGGTGTAAACACATCAAGATAGAGGCAATCTTCATCGCCGTCGATGTGACCATGTATATCACGCTGCCAGCAACTCTTGGAGGAGTTGTGCGCCAAGTAAGTGCCGTTCCAGCAATGCTCGATGCGGCTCAAAGATTCAGCTGGTTGCCAGCGACGATTGCCCACCGGTGGCATTGCATATGGAATACCACGGAATACGTAGGCGTTATCCTCCAAGATACCCTGCACCAATCCGCACGACGTCACTGCTTCGATGTACTTGTCGTTTTTCATAACTTTGATAGAAGTAGTTCTCCTAGGTCCGGTGCAGGCGATACATATAATAACGATGGTGCTGATCAGCAGAATCGTCAAAGTCGTCACTATCAGTTGATTTAAATATATCAATTTTACATATAACACAATTAATACGAATAAATATAAATTTAATACTGCGAGATAAATTCTGTATCCTCGTACCTGGGATAACCACGTGTCTTCTGAATGTGGACAAATAGACCACCAAGGGATGCTTTGGTCGCTCAATGCGGTCAGTTCCGTATTCTTCATCAAGTCGCACGGTTTCCATGCCATCTTCATCGACGATAGGCCTCTTCTCGGAAGCGCCATCGTCGAGTGTTTCGACACTCGCTAATCCAGCAGTACCGGTTTGTCCTAATTCGGTATCGATTTCCTAAAAAAGGGAAATATTACAACTTATTCTTTAAATTCTTTGGGCTGGAATCTCACTCTAAAAAATGAAAATTGAATCAGTTTTAAAAAAGGCGGTTCAATTTTCAATCTGTAAAAGTGAGATTTCACTCTTCAGAGTGATAACTTGCTCTAAAAATTTTAGAGAAAAGAAAAATAGATTAATTTGTTACAATATCAATATTATATTTTCCATCTATTTATCTAATTTAAACATACAGGTTGTTCCGTCACGAAATCGACAAGCTTTGCCAGTATGTATGGATGGTCTAACAAGCAAAACCGTTTATATACAGGGTGTTTCTGCATACAGTGTCAAAACTGCTACACCGGTTTCAAAATACGAAAAATGTCTAATAAATATATGTCCGATTCCAAACGATTTTGAAATTACGAGATATTGAAGTAAGAAAACATGAATCGTAGAGTAAATGTTGTTTAATGTTCGTTTTTCTGTTGTTCTGAATCTTGAATTTTTTTCTGCTAAACTAGATCTTTCATTCGTTCTCAAAATGTAAACAAATACACGTTTCTCCATGATCACTATCCTCATTGGATTGGAAGGGACCAGAACGCTCCTATTAAATGACCAGCGAGAAGTCCCGATCTCACATCACTGGATTTTTTTCTTTGGGGATAAATGAAAGATCTAGCATGTATTCGGAAATATCACCTGGGTGCCCCCGTGAATCACATCTTATTCTTTTAAAATATAATCACTTTAAACAGACTCAATTAATTTACAATTAAAATTTTCATACAAGAAAGGCTACGAGTCAACGCTAGTTGGTAGGTGCTTATAATTAACCAATGTTTATAAAATTTTGATATATGAAAATACATACGTTTCGATCTATATACCAGGTTATCTTCAATGTGAAACATAAAATAAAAATCGAAATAATAATAAAGGAATCATGACAAATGTCGTTTACATAAAATAATTAAATAATTTAAATGTATAAACCGTTAGAGACATCATCATAATTCGCATACAATTTCTATAGAATAATTAAGTTCTTAACATTAAAAGTTCAGAGAAAATGTACCACATGTGATACACGGTGAACCGATTGTAATCGTTTGTTTGAGTGGGCAACTGACCGACGGTATACAAAGTTGCGATGATAATCAACGTCGATTTACTTGGGACGGCGTTAGGGTATTTGGCGCCCCCCCCCGCAAATTTAAAAATTAGCGCCCTACATGTAGGGTTTCTAATTAGTTATCTAATTTCAAACCTATAATTTACAGCTCAAAACTAACGGATATTCTGAGAATCTTTTTTTATACAACGTCTGGGGAATTTATACAATGTCTATCAACAATATCTTGAAAACAACGTGCTCGTCTAACTAAGTCTTCTTTTGTTTAGATGTTCAAAACTTTTAAAGCGCGTCAGACTATGCGCGCGATTCTCGATTCAAAAACAGTTATGCGTTATTACACTGCTTCGAACATTCGACATAATGATCCAATATCTAATAGAAGAATTTATCTCCTAGAGACAAAAATGTCACTATAAACATTACATACATAGGTCGTCTGAAAAGTTTTGAGCCTCAACATGAAGATGGCATTACTCGTCAAAACAATTTTGGTACTATCGTACATACTTTGAAAGATACCTGCGAAAATTGTAGCTACTTCCGGCGCTTAGTTGTTGTTTGACAGTCATTTGTGCCAGTCAATGTCAATGTTTTTGTAAAAATGGAAAAAATCGAATATCAGCAGTCACCATGATAAAAATTCACGAATTGCGGTTCGAATTAATTGACCATCTACCGTATTCACCAGATCTGCCCCCCAGCGACTTTTTTCTGTTTCCTAGGCTCAAAGTTTGGCTCGGAGGACAGAAATTTTCATCGAACGAGGTCATCGCATCCGTAGACGCCTATTTTGCAAAGCAAGACGCTCAGTATTATTTGAATGGATTAAAGGGGTGGGAGCATCGTTGGAAAAAATGTATCGATTTAAAAGGAGACTATATGGAAAAATAAAATTGAATTTGACCGAAAAATTACTTGTTTCTATGTTAGGCTCAAAGCTTTTCAGACGACCCTCGTATGTCTTTACACAGAAATTATTACTTGTGTATAATAAATAGTGTAAAATATTTGTTAATTTTTCAAAAAATTAGATTTCAAAAAATAAGAAAGTTACATTCGACTATTGATCGACGCGTATATCTCTATCCGAATCTCGTGGAACAATCATTTAAAAAAAACGACAGATATACGTATAAAGGAAGAAAAAAAAGAAGAGTATTGAGAAAAAAAGATTGTGAAAATCAAGATATACATCGATATACACTTTTACTAAAATTGAGATTTTTTTTTAGGAATTTCGGAATGCATAAAAGGGTCACGTATCGTAACTATTTGTTTTATAATGCTGCATAGTTCAATAATTCACAACTTTTACGTATTGTATTTCGCAATTTATTGAAAAAATGAATTTCAATCTCATTCAGTACAATATAGGTACGCGGTGTTAGGCGTCCCTAAAACATGGTGAGAGATTTCTCTCTCTTTTAAGGTTAGGTACTCAATTATTCTATAGAAATTGTATGCGAATTATGATAACATCTCTAACGGTTTATACATTTAAATTATTTTATTATCTGGAGACACGGTAGTGTCTCCGCGCTAAGCCAAGCGCAGCGACACTGCCGTGCCTCCTTTACGCGAGCCGGCGAGTTGTGGTAGACTGAGATTATCGAATCTCAATAACGGCTGAACGGATCAAGTTCTATATACGCTCAATCGATAGCCATCGCTTAGATTGTATAATAAAAGTGCTTTTAATTTTTTCCTACGTGCCCTACAAGCGGAGATATTGCGACGCAAAGTCCCGATCTGTCACTTCACATTTCAGATTCAGATACGTCGTCCTTATTGTCATTATTGTCATTATTACTGTCATCGACCAGGAAAAATGTACGTCTCATTTTTTCGATAATAGATGGCTCTTGACCTAACCAAGCGATGGCAGCATTGCACATTCGAACGTGATCAACCATACATAACGGCTGTGATAATCAGCGATGGCAACATTGTCATCACATATATACATACAATTTGACGCGCGCGTAGTGTAAAAATACGATGTGACGCACACTATTATTAATTAATAAATTATTAGTCGGGGCAAATTATTAATTAACATTAAAATGAAATATTAATTAAAATTGAAATGAAATATCGAGATTGTCGTTGAAGATCTAGGTATTTACAGCGTCGAGGAAGAGGGTGTCTAGATGTTCACCGTCGAGAAATTAAGCGTCTAGGTGTTCGTCGTCGAGGAATTAAGCGTCTAGATGTTTGTCGTCGAGGAAGTTGGTGTCTAGATGTTCGCCGTCGAGGAAATGGGTGTCTAGGTGTTCGCCGTCGAGGAAATGGGTGTCTAGGTGTTCGCCGTCGAGGAAATGAGTGTCTAGGTGTTCGTCGTCGAGGAAGTGGGTGTTTAGGTGTTCGCTGTCGAGGAAATGGGTGTCTAGGTGTTCGCCTTCAAGGAAGTGGGTGTCTAGGTGTTTGTTATGGAGGAAGTAGGTGTCTAGGTGTTCGCTGTCTCTGACAAGCGATACGATGAGGTTATATTTGACTCCAGATAGCAAGAGGCAAATGTGGCATTTAGTATTAACCGTTAAACTATTCATGTTAGAAAATCTGTCACATCGATGGAACAGAAGAACGCGTATGAACACGTAAGTGAGGCTAGAATAAATAAATATTTTCTGCTGCGTTACACAAATTCTCTGCTGTAAAAGACATTTTCTGCTGTAAGAGGATATATGATTATTTAGTTAACTCTAATATAATCGAAAAAAGCTACTTAAATGATAAGTATTGAAAAAAACTGCTATTCTACCAAGTTAAATTTTACTATACTCTTATTTTCTAAAAAGAAAGTAATAGTAACTTTAATCGTATACAGACTTACCTTTCAAAAAAAGGTAAAAAAAGCGCTAAGCGTGCGTGCTTCTCGTGTAGAACCACCATTTTTACCGGCCGGTTTTACCAACGTCAATTACTTAATCGGCCGTGAAACTGATGACTAATTACGTTTGTTGTTTAGTAGAATTGACCACTTACAGTTGACAGTTAATCACCGATTAGGATTAATCGAGTTGATTGAAAATTATTACATGAAAATCATTATATCACAAAATTTACTAAATCTAATGATATATGTATCATCTGTATAAAAGATTTGATATCAACAATTGTGGCGCC